TAATCACTTTTCCTCGACACTTACTGATTACTGTCAATTGCAATAGAAGAACACTTTTCATGTATTGCTTGATTTCCTTTTTCCCTGAAAAAGACTTTCTATGCCAAGGACCTATCCCATATACATAGAGAATATTTGTCAGTTTCTCACCCTTTAATTTTTAAAATTAGCCCTACTTTAATTTCTTCATCATATTGTGCATTTTTCTTCACTGTACATCTAGTACTTTCAAAGTGCACTGTCTTTGCTTTAATGGACTAATTAGACATGAACACAGAAAACATATTAAATGACCTTTATTCTCATCCACTAGTAATAGGCCAAGTTGACTAATGTTTATTATATAACAATGATTTGTTGTAATTTAACAGAATACAGGTTGAATGTAAAAGTTCTTCCCTATTAAGGTTCCATTTACAATGTATTTTTATATATTTCAAAACTATTTATTACCTAATATACACCAGACTGATCTAGGCATTGGACACATAAACTTGAACAATGAAGATACATACAGTCCCTTTAAACTCTCGTGGAGCTCACAAACTAATGAGGGATACAAACAAGTTTAAAAGTATATATATAGAAGACACACACGAAGGCAATTACAGTATATTGCATATGCTACGATGAGCACACAGTATAATGGATGGTGCACAGAGCGGGGATTAAGAACATGATCTCAATTCTGCTACTTAATGGGGCACATTACTGATCCTCTCTGCCCCTCATTTTCCTCACCTGTAAAATGGAGATGAATAGAATGCAAACTATTTCACAGGATTACTATGAGGGCTATTGTTGGAACACAATTCTCAAGGGTCTCTCAAGTTTCTAGATGTCTTATAAGCACAGGCACTGACTGCTTTTTGTTCCATACTATCTTTTTAAGGATGTTTGTATAGCAAAAGCAGAGACAGAGTCCTCTCCAGAGCAAAGGGTGGGCATACATATCATCACCAGGTTTCCAAGGTCAGGGCTGTTCACCTGTACAATAATCCATTGCTTGTGCAGGTACCATCTGAACCTCTTTGTGTCACTCTTGGGAATTGGAACTCAGGGAACTAGCGCCAAAAAAAAATGTTGATACTCTGGCTACTGCTATAGCTGGAATAATAATGTCTTTTGTTTCTAATCCAAGAGTTTGATGACTTGCCAGCATTCATGAAACAATAACAGGCTGACTTATTAAGATTACAAATAGGGTAAAGTAAGATCTCAGACTCTTCTTGGTTCTTGACAACTATATGAATTAGTACATGTGAGGTGCCTAAAACAGTAACTACTAGCAAGTGGTAAGTTCTCAATAGCTGTTAGTTATTGTGGTAGACAGAAAATTGTCCCCCAAAGATGCCCATGTCTTCATTTCTAGAATCTGTGAATATATTAGGTTACTTGGCAAAGGGGAATTATGGTTGCAAGTAGAATTGAGATCGCTAATCAGCTGACCTTAAGACAGGAAGAATAGCCTGTATTACCCAAGTGAACCCAGCATAATCACAAGGATCCTGAAAAGTGAAAGCAGGAGGCAGCAGAAACACAGCCAGTGTTAGGGTAATACAATGTGAGAAAGACTCTAACATCCATTGCTGGCTTTGGAGACAAAAGGAGACCATGAGCTGAGAAATGCAGACAGCCTCTAGAAATTGCAATAGTTAAAAAAATTAGAGATTCTCCCCTAGAGCCTCCAGTGAGAACAGTGTCAGACTTCCAACCTACATAACAGTAAGATTATAAATGTTTGTTATTTTTAAACCACTAAGTAGGTGCTAATTTTTTATTGTATCAATAGGAAACTAATGCAGTTATCATCATCATCATTATCATCGTCACCTTTATCATTATTATCATTACAATATATTACAAAAGAATTCCCTAATATTGACATAAGAATGAGAAAAGGCTTCCTAGAGAAAGTCAATTATCAGATCTGTGTGAGTGACTGGGAAGTAGCCAGAGGGAAAGTGTATTTCAGGCTATTGGAGTAGAAAATGTATGGAAGTAAGAGAGAATACAGTGCTTTTAGTCAACAAAAAAACTGAGTCAATATGACTGAAGCATATAGTGACAAATCCTGCTTTGGACATGCTGAGTTTGGGTTGCCTCTGGAATATCCAACTAGAGATATCTAATAAGAAGCCGAATGTAGAAATCTGATGCACTGAGAAGAGGTTTGAGTTGGGGAGCGGATTTAAGAAGTTATCAACATGTAGCTGAGCCCAGGACCAATGCTGAGTAGAAAAAAGTGCTAAAACAGATGTCTGAGGAGCACTGCTATTTAAGAGATAGGCAGACAAAAGGGGAAAGTGGAGCAGGGCCCACAAATAATACTACTGACAAGATGCTGTCATAAGAGAGAGAGCATGACGTCACATCATCCAAGAGTAGCCATCCATCCAAAGTGGAGGGTAGAGTTTACAGTGTTCATAAATATCTTGGGCATATTTATAAAATGCAGGTTATA